GCATGTTCAGAGTTCACTTTTACCAAAAAAATAAATGTCTCCTCTTCAGCCTTTCTGCAGTTTAACATCGCTTCTTTGTCAGCCGCATCTTATTCTTATTTTTTATAAGATAACAATCTACTTACATTCCCCATGACATTAACTAATATGCAATGTCCGCTCATCCATGAGTTTAATAGATTTAAACCAAATTAATGGACAAATTCTTTTTTACAAAAAAACAACGCTCTAACATCGTTTTGCAGAAGGTAAAGTATATGTTTTAAAACAGAAATAAAAACTTTTTTTTGCAGCAGTGTGCATGATAGATTATTTAACAATCGGAGCACGTTACTTGCTGTGTAATATGGATCGGACACAAAGGGCACTGACAAAAATGGAACAACTTTTTAAAAGTGCACAAAGAAGAGGTGCATGTTTGGGATTTATGCCGACTGACGGAAAAGGAACACATGGATCAGAGACAAACATCATAGAGACATATTAGAGACATTATATTGACTGTTAAGAAAAGTGGGTTTGGGCAGGACACATCACGAGAAGGAATGTTGACCGACAGTCCAGGCTAAGGTGACAGCCAAGGGATGGGAACACGCCCAGGATTAAGACCACCAACGAGATGTCGGGATGAGGATCGGCGTACCCACAGGGTGGCCCAACATTGGTACGAGCATTTTTTGATTGTTCATTATTTAAGTAATATTTTACGTATTGTCATTATTAATATTTCTATTCATTTTTCTTCCTCCTCTAGGGGTCACCTAGACCAAGAACCATGAATGATTAAGAATAGCTTTTACCCTTTCTGGCTATAAAACAGGAGGCGTTAATATGTTCAAACACCAAACAGAAACCTTTTGCAAGGAAATAAGTCACTCTGCATTAACTACACACAGTACTTGTGGTGAACATGCAAACAAACATACTCTGATAACATATATAGGACCTGGTCCCACCAGTGTCAGACCAAAGGACGCCAAAAGGCGAACAGTACAAAGACAATGCCACTATCAGAGCATTTATAGCTCGGGGTGAGCAGCTACTAAATGGGGCCTTTTTGATACTGGAAAAAAGGTCACATTTTGTAATCATGAATGAATTGAGACGAAACTTAATTGATGAATGTCCAAACATCACACCCGTAATCTTGTTTTCTAAATTCGAACATTTGTTAAAGTAAATAAAATAACCCTCTCTATGTGATTAGTTTAAATACATATAATAACCTCATGTGTGCCCCGACTTTTGGGCCACCCCTGTACATGAGCCCCACCTGGATAGTGGCATCGCTAGACCGTGAGCACTGGTGGCAACTTGGGCAGGCAGCAGCGGATTGATCACGGCAGATGATGATTTAGACTGCGACAGTATACTGTGCAGTGTGCGCATTGGGCAATGGTCCAATACTGAAAGCCAAAGTTGAAGAGCACGGGGTGGCTGCCTGTGTGTGTGCGGGGTCGTGCCCTGAGAATGCCATTTAGGTGGCAGTCATGGCTGGCAGGCTTAATTGAAGGGGGCACAATCACTTTCTGTGACAGTAACCATTGAATATCAAATCTTCAGTGGTGGGGGTAAAATTTTCCGGGGAAGTGCCAGCTGCTTCTTTGGCCCTAATGTATGTGTGCATGTTGAACTTCTTTCGCACCGCACGTAGCCAACCGTGCTAATCAGTTGGCTACGTGTACAGTATTCTCTCACCATTCACGATCTTGCTGTCTGCGATTTTGGCTATCCACGAATCGCATCTGGAATTCTACACGACTGCATGGAGTGATAGAGAGAAAGGGGTGTGATAAAGTGACGACAGAGAAAGTGATGAGATAAAGTGATGAGACAAAGTGATGAGACAAAGTGATGAGACAAAGAGATGCGTTATTATGGTAATCTTCACGTATTTTATAGCGTATTTACTTATTTATTTAAGGCAATTCATTAAATGGATAGGTTTCCGTAGGCCCATGTCATTATCCGCGAAATTTGCTTTTCACGAGCATCTCCGGAACGTATCCCTCGTCGCGAATAACGAGGGAACTGCGTACTTCACGTTGGGTGGTGGGAGGAGAGCCGATAGATGTAGAACAAAGGGGGTCTCTGATGTGGAATCTTTAAAAACCGTTGAACCGAGGTTAGAGGTTAACATTTAATGAGCCAGGGGTTAGCATTCAAGTTGGGGATTGGGTTTAAATTGTACTGATAAACTGTTGCCATGTGACCACGTATGGCTAAAGCATGTTTTTTTTATCCAAAACTTTAACACGTTGCTGTTGAGCATTGTGTCGAGATGGGCTTATTTTAATCCTTTATGACCCACCCGCTAATCAGTGAAAATATCGTGAGAAGGTTATTAAGACCCTCATAATTTTCTCATTGCGTATTGCATATCTATCTGAAAAGTGGTGGATTGAAACATTATTAGCCTCATAAAAAAAAACAATTGACCTACACATCCCTATTTATAATCATGTGAAGACGCGAATAACTGTTTTAAAAATATATAATGTGAATGTACATGACATTACATCCTCTTTTTTGGAAAGCATTCATTCACTCAGCTTAAATAGAGTGATAATCTCTTTGTCACGAAGGGTAAAATGAGCAAAATCAAATGCTCCATATGTAATCGTGTATGGCGCTGCATACAACAATAAAAAATATATACAACCACAATCCGGTACAGTACTGCAGGCGCCTAAAGTTAAAGTTGCATTCCACGGCAAACAATAAATATCGCATGGTCCTATAGTGCCCTCTACTGATAAACACTTATTGTTAACTTTTCATTTGGGTGACGAGTGGACAACCCGTTGAAATATGAGATAAGCAGGACACCTGGCTGGGGGGAGAGCAGGTGATCAACGGACAGAGGAGTCCAATGAAAGAACCCCCCGCCAACAAAGAGGCATCCCCAGAGATGAGAGACTCGGTGGTGAGGTGAAATTGACAGAATGGCACGGACGAGGGAGCGAGGGGGGGGGCAGAGATCATGGATCGCCATGGATTGTTGACAACCGGCGGTATATGTCGAAGGTTTCACTCGCCAACGGGCACCTGGACGCCACGTGCACATCGGAGTGACAAAGGCGGTGACTATAAATTCTGTCATTCAATAGGCGCCCCATGAAACGTGAATGGCAAACCGCTCTCACAGAAGGGGCTTGGAGGATCGTTTCCGAGATCTCGCTTGAACAAACGAGATTGACTGTGACCGTGAACTCTCTGTAAAAAAATATAATAGGGCCAAATCGGAAATATATTCACGCACGAATGTTTAATTTCACATATATAATCCACGTTCATTTTAAAGTAGTATTTTAAAGGCTAGCTATCAAATGGAAATAGCCAGTAGATTATCATTGGACGTTTGAACTCCAATAGCTTGACTTTCCAGTATCTTGTGGCTGAACGTTATCGGATTAATTTATCACATCACGCTATAAGGTTAACATTATTTGTTACCAGATGACACAATTTCTTTATAATAAATGTGTGATAAGCGACAAAAAATCTGCAATAAAAAAATAAGCAAGCAAAATATATTCCCCCCCAAAATTTCACACATTATAAGCTCGAATGCACACATTTACTTAACTGATTTTGTGATGAATTTGTAGGCTTACTTTTTTCTAACCTTTAATTCTTTAACATTTACATTCTATTGAAAAAAATGTCAAATGCACCATAACCGTAGGAATTCCAGCTTTTGTTAAATCATGTGAGGAGAAAGCTTCACAAACTATTCCTCATAGCATGTATCTAAATTTCAGATAAAAACAGGATCATTCAAGGTATATTAATGAGACAATTATAAACAAGCCCAAACTTTAGTGTAGATGCTAATATCTCCGAATTATTATTTTTTAGGAGCTGTGCAATAGAATACTCTGGACCAAATGCCATTGAGAATTACTTAAGAATCAGAATCTTTATTTATACTGGAGGAATCCAATGAGCTATAAAGCTCTTTTTCAGTACACATCTGTGACGATGACAATGATGATGAAAGTGAATGTTGCCATGTTGCAGCCTGAAGAGATGACTTTAAGATGTACAGAATTTTCCAATTTTAAATTTACAGTGGCCGTTAAAGATCCAATGGCATTATTCGAAAGAGAGTAGGCCATGTGTGCCGGTGTCAGGATCTACATTTACCAAATTGCTTGTTTCAGAAAAACCACATTGCATCATTGCCTCCTACTGGCAGACTATACCCATCGGTGAACATAGCACAGTTGTGATAGGCTAGTTACTAAACAAATGGCACAAATTATACATTTACATCTGATTATTAAATAAATAATTGAGATAATTTCTTATTTGGTGCTGAACTGTTACAAGCCTGCAATGGAAAAAAAAACACAATCAAAATATGAATGGCATTTACATTTTTACGATATTTTTTTATTGTTTATAGTTTCAAATTTATCAAAGCAACAGAGTATCTGCTAATCGTGATTATAGAAATGTCACGTTAACATTAGGTTGCTTATTATTAAGTGTTGGTAGGACTGTCTGGCATTTCCAGAAATCACTGGCAATTATCTTTAATACAGCACTGTACTATTGTATATCTTAAATGTTGTGTAAAAACAAGGATACCATGTTAATGGAATTCTGTGTTTTTTCATGGGTGTGCTTTTTCAAGTTTAACAACCGTTTATTACTTCTATGATATTTTAACCATAATATTATGACTGCACAGAATATCACCGTGCATTGCTTTTTAGGTCAAAAGTCAGAGGATCAGGTCACATTGATGCAAGAGCTGTCATCCTCCGCATGTTGGGCAGGACTCACAATGTCTTTCTCAACCATTGGTTCAGTTTTGATTACATTTTCATGGATATAGATCAGTGTCACGTAACTTTGGCTGCCGTCTGCGTTTCAGGCGATAAGGTCAAGCATCAACGTCAAAAGCCACCTCAATAACTGCTTTGTGGTGAAGCATTCCGTGAACCACAAATAATCGCCGCAGACAGACACACACACATACACATTCCACGAACCCAGTAGCTCTCAAAGTGCGGTCCCGGCAACACCACCACCACCATCAGTGATCCGCGATGGTCCTCGAGGTGGTCCCGCGGGGCTGTGATGCAAACAACAATGACAATGTTTATTATTATACCTTTTGTGTGTTGGACATTAATTCATATTTTACTGATGATATTTGATGTAAAAATGAAGTTAAGTAAACTACCCTCACACTACGATTTAAATTCCCCCCCCCCCCCCTAAAAAAAACTTATATCCGCGTAACAAAAAATATAGTTTCATGCTTTGATAATATGAATCATGTTGGATTAGTGGTATTGAGAGAGATAAGTTGAATGCTTTTTGTCACCAGGGATTGGGGAGGGGGGGCTGCGTGGTTTGGCAGAAATGTTTTCATTGGGCTGAGTGAACTGCGAGCCAAACAAGTTTGAGAAACCCTACACAAGTGGGATACACATACTATGTTGTTTTACATCACATATGGAACATCGGGAAGCAATTCAAGTTGAAATCCAACGAAGGCATCCGTACACTTGTGGGAACACATACACACGCACGCAAGATGTCGTGCATGAAACATTTTAATATTTATGTAAAATTAATATTAAATAATAAAATCCGATGGGGGAGGGGTGGAAAGGAAACACATTCCGCGAAGCCATATTTAATTTACAAAAGCAGAATGTGCAGATGCAGAGATGAGATTCAAATCTGAGGGCCTTGCAACGTGACGTCACGCAGCTCAAGGTCACAGCCGCTGACAATTGACCCAGAAAACGGAGCCACCTTCCTCGACCGCCAGCGTGGCACTCGCGCGCTCCACGCGACGCGCCATGCGACGAAAATCTCCGCGAATCGTCTCACAAAGTCACAACATTGGTGTCGTCGTGATCGTCGCGTCATCGTCACGATCCACGGGGCGATAGCCCTTCGGTGTCCCACTGCACGTTTTGTCATTTGTTTACACCAGGGGTGGGGAACGTCCGGCCCGCGGGCCGTATAAGGTCCGTGAAATCATTTGGGTCTGGCCCGGCCAAGGCAACCGCAGGCGGGACTCGAAATTCAATCAATCTAGGGGCAAACCTGGGAAAGCAGTTGCGAGTAGCAGCAACATCATCAATACCAGCTGACATCATCACCACGCCTCACCAAAGAGAAGCGGTTCCAGCCATCACATTAGGGGTGAGTTAATTAAATGTTTGATAATTTTGTATGGCCCGCGAATGATGTTATAAATATCCAAATGGCCCTTGGCAGAAAAAAGGATCCCCACCCCCTGAATTACATCTTCCTCTTGTGCCAATATGCTCAATTAGTGCACGTCTTCCTGGCGCCAATCTCTAATGCCGTCAAGCGATTGGATTCATGTTCCTAACATGAAAAGGTACCACCTTAAGTCTGATTATGTTCTTATTCGCCTTTGTGCTTTGACGGAAAAACAAGAGATTTTTTTATTAAATATACATATATATAATTTAAGGGAAACAAATGCTTTTATTAATTTTACATCAATGACTTCGTAACAATGGGGCATGTTATTCCTGCCACAGTAGACTGAATTGCAACATCTCAACGGGTCTTGGGTTCCTCGCTAACCAACTCACACTGACTGGCGTGGTGCGGTATGGCCAAACAAACATTTCAAAACCAACACTGTGTAACTCGACTGTAATCCGGCAATGGAATGACATAGTGGCTAAACCTTTTTACCTTTCTATTGTGTTATTATTTAATTAATCAAAACGTCAAACTGCAGGTGAGTTTAGCTTGTGTTCCATAGAGCCAAATACATTGCAGATGTAAAGGATTATGGTTAAGCTTTGAGATGCAGTCGACCATACCTAAACAGTCATGAAGCAAGCAGCCCATTTTACCTTCGCAGCTTTTAAGTGACCCTGACCCAAAATTGCATAGGCTATTTCAGCGAAATGGATAATTACACACATTCAGGCTTGCCCTAACATTACATATTTCAAGTCCCAGCTACCGGTGATGCGTTTTGTTAAACAAACGTATGGCATGACTTAAAGCTTTCGTGACTGCAGGAATTCATATTCTTTGGGTCTTTCGGTAAAGTCACGTAGATAGGTTCAAAGAAAATAACCAAAACTACGACGTTTCTTGTTAAACAACACAAGCGGTCGTCTTGTGTTGTGATCGAAACGTCGTAGTTTTGGTTATTTTCTTTGAACCTATCTACCTGGCTTTACCAAAAGACCCAAAGAATATACACCTATTGCACTAGCTTACTCAACTAAACTATTTTTTTAAATATTTACCAGGTAAAGCTGACTGAGTAATATAGCTCTTTACCAGAAGCGACCTGGCTATCACAAATTATAGCTCAAGGAAGTGGCTTATCACGTGGAAATTTATAGCAGCCAAATCCTCTAAACGCACGTTGATTGTAATGTGGAGGAAACACCGAAATCCACGCGACCACGGAGAGAACATGCAAACTCCAAATATACAGGCGTCAGGGTCGGGATCGGGATCGAACCCACGGCCTCCTGTATAAGAGGCGAGGTAGTTAACATCTCGCCACGGTGAGAATTACAAGATGTGTACGTTCGGAGCCAAGTTTCGTCTGGCCTCTTTCGCGTCGACAATGTGATGTGAATACAAAATACAGATCACTGGAACACCCTCACAGGTATTGTCAAGGTGAGGCATTGCCAAGGTGAGAATGGAATATGCCACAGTAGGCACGTGCGCGCTTGCGGCATTTATAAACCGTATTCGCTATGTTTTACATCTTGATGTAATTCTATTATAGCAATGGGAATTCAGCATTGTTGTTTGCTGATGAGGTGTGATTACATTTTAAATAATTTTACACCATTGCATCACGCCTGTTTTGTTCTACCTCTGCGGTATGTGTACCACTGCAGGTGTTTTATTCCACAGATTATCAGGTGAAAATTTATTTATCAGAAGGGCATTTTATTCTGCGAGCAAATCGAACATTCGAAGGTTTTTTTTTTAATGCTATTAAGCTTTTGAAAGCAAAGAATAGCGACACCACATTCAAGATTTGAATTCCGAAATATTACTTTTAAAAGCAATAAGAGAACATACACTTTACTTTTCAGTCATCATATCTATCCTCGATGCGTGGGCATTGAGAATGCTCACTTTATCATGACCAGCAATCCATTGGGTTAACCCATTATGTAAAATAAATTCAACGTAAGAATTAACATGACCTTATCACGTTCAGGGATAAATGCTGTCAATTAGTTGCACGACAACATTATTTGCACAAATCAATTCAAACTCAAAAGGAACAGCTTAGTTCTGCTCCGTGGACTTTAATTAATGACGTCCTAAGGGCATTATCTGCTTCACAACTTGCGGAAGTCTTAGGGGAATGAGCACTCACAGCCATAATCAAATTTCCCACTGCCCGATTAAACCAAATTTGAAACCTGGGCTTCAAACACAACCACTCCTTTTTTAAAGGGGTTTGGGTTTAGGCCGGTTCTCAGAAATTCTAGCACTCGCTCGAGACTCGGAAATGGACCATTGCAACTTGGCCACCTGTTCCCTTTGTCCGATAAGCTTTCACAGAGAGAACAATCCAGCTGCTGTGGCCGTGCATAAATCAGGAAGGAGAGACTCACTTTCCCTCTGGGGACAGTTAGATACTATTACAGCCCTCTTGCTACCTGCTACGAGTGGAAAAAGGTGGCATTTTAGATGGATGATAAAAGTTTCGGGTAAAACTCCTTTTCTCTTATTTTTGTAGACTAAATCGTTCGATTTATCGTTCGATTTAATCTTCTCTTTTTTTCCCTCGCTTATTTTGCTAAATCAATATCCTTTGTCAGTCTACTGTTGGATGAAAGCCTCTCCGCACTATTTCAGTCACAAGGGGGTGGGGGGTGTTGTCGTTTGAACATACTTCACCGTGTCGGTCAATGCTGATTGGTGAAGGTGGGGCCCAGGATTGGTTCAAATATCTCTCATCACGGATGGGAGCCATGGTCATAAATCAAACTCGGGACGCGAGGTCAATGTATGTATGTATGTTGAACTTCTTTCGCACCGTACTATGCAACTGTGCTAATTCGAGGTGCGGGGGAAGGACAAATAACTAAACACGAAAAGCAGTTCTAAAGAAACGAGTTTTCAATCTAGATCATTTTAAAGTGCGTAGCTTCAGTGGCTTCCTAATATCAGAACGAAGAGCGTTCCAGACGGCCGCAGAAGCGCATCTGTCAGTGTGCGATGCGGTGACCACCGTTTTTGTTCGATGGCTAGCCAAAAGTCGCTGCTGCGAGGATGAGCGGAGTCTGCGTGATCATGGTTTATGCTCCTTGGCGAGATCGGCAAGGTGTTGTGGTTCATTTGTGGCAAGGACTTTGTGTTGTAATGCATGCGACCTTATAGCAATGCAGTGTCCTAACCACTGCATCACTACTTCCCCCTACATATATGTGGACGACAGTATATGCAGACTTAAAGCCACATAATGTGTATGTATTTAACGTACATAGATGTTTTCACTCCTGGGAATCCATTGCTTTGAAGAGTGTGTTTCAAGTGTACAGTATATTTTCAAACATTCAGTGTCAAAAATAATCGTCAGTGTATTTTAGATTTTATTATTATTACAATTCATTCCATTAAGCAAACGTGGTGATTTTGTTTTAAATAAATTAGACACTGCACCCTGAAACAACATTGTCTCATTAAAAAGCATAATCGAGTACAGTACACTTTTTTTTTACGTATGACATATTTAATTTGGATAGTATGAAAAATATAGATAGATTGCGTCGGTCTGATATTTTTCAAGAACCAAAGGAGTAAAATACTAAAAGGCAGAATAATGTGTTGACATGTAAAAGGGCAGCCCTCAGATATCAGATGTTGCTGTCAGCGAGTTTGATCGAGTCTCTCCCCTTGCCATGTCCCTTCCTCAGAATGCAGATCTCTCTAAGGATTAAAGTGACAAGTCCTGGAACCACCTCCGACTGCCGATAAGGATTTTTTTTAATCTCCTGTTGCCCCAACCCCCCAGCCCTTTTTTTTATTCTCCCGTTGCATGTCGGTTTGACAATGCCGCGATCGCAGATAACCGCGATGTTCAGAAGGCACAGAAGGTTCTTCTTCTTCTTCAGTAAATGCTTATCCAAAGTGAACTTTTGAACTCGAAGCGGGGGAGAAGATGTATTTTGCCGAAGACATTCATTTTAAATGAAAAGTTAATGATACAGTCCCGTATTACGAATGTAAATTATAAATATGCAGAAAAGGATCTGCACGTTTGTTCCCTCCAATTCAGCAACATTATTTGCACACGTTCAAATGTAAAATACATTTACGTAATTAATGCGTATTTATTTTCCTTCAGTAGAATAATTCTGGCATAACGTAGATCTTCAATAAACATTTTTTTGTAGAAAAATACAACCGTAAAATATATAGGCTTTTTTAAAATACTGTAACGGTTATGGCCAATTATATCTACGTATAAAACATCTTCTTTTAAATTAATGCCACGTCTTGTGTTATCACAATTTGCTGTATTGCTCATATTATTAGGCTTTGAGCAAACTCAATTGCATTAAACACTGCATACTGATCAGATGTCTTATTCCAATTCAGGGATGACTTTCCTTGCAGAGGCGGCCGCTGAAGCAATGCTGCACCGGTGGTTACAGCTGAGTTTAAATCGCAGTTCCCCCCCCCCCCTTTTAACATAATGTGCTAATGTCCAAAAGCCGGGGGAATGCAATTACTGCCCCAGAGGAGCGGCTGATGGCAAAATTGCCGGCGGAGCGCGCTTGTTTTCTTGCCTGTCACATCGGATTGCACAAAGAGCCCAATCGTTGCGTCTGTATGGCGGGTGGCTGCACTATAAGCGAAGCGGTTCATTAGCCCGCTGTTTAACCTTGTAGCGTCGCGCCCGCCTTGTTGGCGATCGAGCCCCAGCTCTCTGCATTTAACCGCCGCGTGCCCGTGGCTCTGGGCTAGAGGGGGGGGAAGGCGGAAACAATTCGGGAGTGAAAACCTAATAATGCCAAAATGATGGGGGTGGGGGGGGATCATTCAGATCACGGAGAGCCGTGGGCTCCCGACCGACATTCACAGTGGATGCCTCTGTTGATTTATCCACGTGCAGCCTGTACGGTATTTATTTCCTATTCACCTATCACCGATATGTAGCAAATGATTCATTATTTTAAAAGCGTGCCATTCATAGCTTACATGAAAGCCGGCAATGTATATTACACATTTCAATATCTATCTATTAAACCGACCACCATATGCATAGTTAATAATAAATAGTCATATATAATCATTTGAAAACTATGATGTTATTATGAAACTTTTAGTATGGATTATTACAGTCATAATAGCATCAATTTAATTGTTTGGTATTATCAAAACTCTGTTTGATTGTCTCAGATGCATTACGTCTACCATTCTGCCAATCTCACGACATGTTTCTAAGAACAGAGTACACTCGTAATAACTTAGGAATTATTTTTAACGGTAACAAGTCAAGATTTAAGTTTATACAGCAATACCAAAACCCATAAATTATGTAGGTGTACTTGTACGCACACAATATGTTCTAAACGATATGACCGATCCATGGGACATTGTCATATGTCATCTAGGAGCACACATCTCTAGCTGGGATTGCTCTGCCTATGTGAAAAGTGCAGGGTCATGATGAGGTTTTCAAGAGCCACGATAGTTTGGCTGGCTATGATCACGTAGAGCAGCGGTCCCCAACCTTTTCGGCACCAGGGACCGGTTTCGTGGAAGACAATTTTTTTCACGGACCGGGGGTCTTTCCCCCTTTTCAAAGAAGCTCTCCAGCGACGTTTGTTTTTGACTCATTGTGGCTACTAGGGGTTAGCAGCTTGTGGGCTTACCAACACCACGTGACTGAGACAAGTGCGCAGTGCGGGAAACAGGCGCAGACGGAAGTGGTGAATAATAAAATAATGGGGGCGGGTTCCACGCGCGGACTCACCGCTCTCACCTCCTGCTGCTGCTGTGCGGCCCGGTTCCTAACAGGCCACGGACCGGTATCGGTCCGCGGCCCGGGGGTTTGGGACCCCTGACATAGAGGATCTATCGTGAGAAATCTCGGCAATGTTATTCCGACGATGGGTAGATCCAAGTTCAGGTTCGTCCACCTTGCGCTCACTGTGAAATAAAAAAAAGTGTACAAATGAAAATATCAAATTCTGCAGCTAAAATCTGTCGATGCCTCCACTGCCAGTACCACATTTACATTAGTGAAATCTTCCAGTTTACTCCATTTCATCACGATCAACACTTAATTTCTACAGGTACTCCTCTAGTTACGAACATTCGACTTACGAACTTTCAGAGATACGAACAAACCTGTCCGTATGTCCAGTTGCCTGTTCGGACCGAGAGTCGTAAGTTCAACCGCCTCGCAATAGATGGCATTTCCAATAGATGGCATGTACATCTGCAGAACATGAAGAACCAGTGGCTTCTACGTCTACATGAGATTATACAACTTTTAAAGCCATTCCCTGTCTAATAGTGTACATGTCGTACAACATGTTTGGACATAAATCCTCTCCATCAATTGCCTCACACAGGAGAGGACTGCATTTCCTCGAAGCTGTAACGTTCACCGTCAACAGTGAATTCACGAGAATGCGCAAAGAGCTCACGGGCTGACCACAACACGAGCCGTGTTGCGCGTCCTCCTGCGCAACACGCGATACCGGCCTCGCCGCCGTGGCACTGTTTCATTTTGAATGTTCCATCTCGTCGTAGGGAGCACATCGCTATGCGTATATGCTTCGCTAATGAGTGCGGTGAAGTATGACCGACTAAGCCGTCAGCGCCGCGCCGCGGCATGGGGAGGCACTCATCCAGCATTGGATTTTTAAATGGGATGTGTGTACATTGTGACGAGTAGAGCATTCCTCGAAAGGACGCACTTAAATGATACGCACTGTTCATCATCAGCCATGTTTCTATCCACTGCTAGATGAAAGCTTCTTCACACAGTCGCCATCCCTCGTGATCCTGAGATGCTACGACCCGTTGTCTCGTGCGTGAGCTGATCATCCCTCCATTTTCCCAAGGTGTGTGTTTCTATTTTGGCTGCTATTTGACCGCGCCAGCGTCCACAAAATCGAATGCCTCTTAATAGTCCACAAAAGCTGGGAATGATGGTATTTGATATTCGTTCGCCTTTCTAAGATGTAATTGATGGAATGTGTGATCGTTTGTAGAAAACCCATCTTACACTCGTGGCCGCTTCTATTTCTATTCTTGCGTCTGATGTCCATATGTTCGGGAACTAAATGCCAATGTCGAGGTCTGCTCGACACTTGTGGGCTTTCAGGAGAGAGAGTTCGTGCACTTTTGCTCATCCTCCATTGCAGGAGCGCAGACCATAGTGGTTTAGTATAAGTGTCCGTTAGTGCGGGTTGCATAGCCACTATCGTGCTGTGGCTTGTGTTTTTAAATTTCCATTCGTGAAAGAGATGTGCGCATCCATTGGCCCGTTGATGTTATGGTGCAAGTTGGCGGTTCCACCACCGGTGCCTTCGTGGAGGAATTTCAAAGCCAAGGGTTGCAATGTTTGGGTCTCTAATAGGGCGTTTGTTTTGGACGTCCGCGTTGTTCCACGATTCGCCAGCGTTCTTCCAGATCTGGTCAATTAACCTCTAAATTTACCATTATTTGGTTCTCTATGGTTTCCGTGCGATGAGCATTTCTAAGTAATGTAAAATTGGAAAGCAATATTTAATCCACAAATATCAATATCAAAATAGTACCCATGGCATAAAAAGTATTCACGCCAGATATCTGCAATTTACTTCAAATGGTATGACATTAAATTATCCATAAAAAAACAGAAGGCTTACTCCAGGGCATTAATAACTTACCGCTGAAACTTCTTTAAAAGAGCAATCTGAAACATAAATCATCGTGCACCCAAGTGTACCGGTGTACTATTTATGAGCCTTCAGATATTCTCCATTCACAGATACAATTGATAATTCCATCTGAAGTTTATTTTGTTTAACCAAGTGAGAACTCAAGAGATTAGGATAGTCGAATTTGCAAGCTTGCCCTGGGGCATTCGCCTGCCAGTAGGCGGCCAATGATTGCTGTGCATAATCTCAATTGAGCAAATTGCGAGAACATTTTAGAATTTGGAAAGTTTGGACTGATGTTGGCCTGCAACAAACAATGGCCTACTCTTGCGAATAACTCCAGGGGATATTTAAACTCCACTGTGAAGCAATGGGGTGCGTACCAGAATGGTTCTTTCCATCTCAATAATAATAATAGGGGTGGCTGCTGGCTTTGAACCGTGAACCTCTGCAAGGAAGCGGTTGGAAGCGCTACCGTTGGGCCGTGTGACCAATTAATTTTTTTTTCAAACTATAAAAGCCACACGTGACTAATTCCATCCCAAGAAATGCACGCATGTAAATGTGAAAACACTCACCATGAGTAATGATAACGTCCAATACCTCAACAAAACTCCAGAAAATTTTGGAAGAACTTTACAACGAAGGTTTTGTCACCACCCAAATGTCACTGGCAAGCTTCTGTCGACTGGAATATTATAACACGCTGGATGGGGAAATAGTGACTCTGATGGGAGGCCTCTTAATATTATTAAGAATAAACATGCGTTGAGAGTAGTTGGCTGCGATTAATTTCCACATAAGCCACTTCGTTGAGATCATTTATGTCCAAGTCGCTTCAGAAAAAAAGAGCTATATAGTTCAGTGGGCCTTATCTAGTAAAAAAAAATAGTTTAATTGAGAATCGCGAACTTATTGAAGGTACGCAAACCCCACATTACGATCAGACGTATTTTACATGTAAATACAATCAAGTACTACGCATGTGCGAGACTGATTGTCACCGTATAAGCACGAGACACAACCATTGGGTAGTGACACTTTTAGAGTAAGGTGTCTCTCAACGAGCCGACTGGCATCGAACCTCGCTATTGATTTCCCACTGAGCTGGAGAACATCGCAGCGTTGAGCTTGTGTGTGTGGATGTAACCGTACGTGTCATCAGGCGCACATGCCAAAGCACGCGTGTTCAGTCTTAATTCACACGACTCAATACGTAGCCCATGAATGCCCCGTATTGTGTGCTTTTATGGTGGATTGCGGAGCATAAAATAATAATAAACAACATAGGCATAAAATTTCGATTTAAAGCTTTCGTGACTGCAATGATTCATCTTCTTTGGTTCTTTCGGTAAAGTCACGTAGAATGAGAATAAAATAATAAATTGATAAAATAAAATAACACAATAATATTCTCACGACGTTTCGGCCACAACACAAGCGGCCTTCATCAGGTGAAGGGAGCGAGACTGTCTGGTAGGACAGCGCTGGAGTGAGAGAGCCACGTTCAGATCACGGCTTTTAAGCTGTGTGAGAGGAACAAAGAGCCTTGACGAAGGAATTAGCATAAAATTAGGCATACTCTGTGTATCTTAGGCATACTCTGTGTATCTATGTGTTTGTCTATGTTGTGTCTATGTTGTGTCTCTCTCTGTGTGTGTCTCTGTGTTGTCTCTCTCTCTGCTCGTGTGTCTGTCTGTGTGTGTCTCCGTGTCTGTGTTTTGTCTCTCTCTCTCTCTCAAATTTAGTTCTACCTGATGACGACTGCTTGTGTTGCAATCGAAACGTCGTATTTCTATTATTTAATTTATCTTCTTTCAACGTGACTTTGCCGAAAGAACCAAAGAGTAACAAGCAAATTGTTTCACCCTGCATGAAGCAACGGAACATTTTGGTCAATCGTTCTTTCTTTGGTCTTTATATCCGACTCTCAGCGAATGTTTCCATCGGCAATGGAGTTGAGTGCGGCTCGTCAGTAGAGCGTGCTGTTGAGACTGATCAGCACTCACCTTCGATTAGCATGGTTGGCTACGTACGGTGCGAAAGACGTCCAGCATACACACGTGGGGCAGAGGCGTCACGATCAGCTCAGGGGGTGCGGCAATTGTTCAGGTGGGGCCCCAACATTTGATTTGTCTCGCACGGTCGCACCTGGGATATTATATCTCGCGGCTCCTCTTGCCTAATCACATCGTTACGTTTACGGTCTCGAACATTTAGCGCTGTAGGGGCGCTCCGTTTTAAATGCTGTTTGAAAACATCTCTCGGTGGTCGTCAAGGGGGTCCCAACTCGTAGATTTGTCCACCAGGGGGATGAGGGGGTAAGAAGGCACCCCCCTGCGCCCACGCTAGTTATGCTACTGATGTTTGATGTCAATTAAATGCTGCTGGATTGACAAGATAGCGTGGTTATAGGCAAGAGCTCTTGCGCGAAAAGTACGGGGTCCAAATCGCTCAATCGTCCAAGACTGCAACAATTTGGAGGGCCTCGCTTGACAAAAATAAAAGTTGCGAGATTCAGCGAGGCTTTCCTAGGCAGAACGAGCATAACAATGAAAAATAAATAAAACTACAATATCTGTATGGTAATTATCTTACCTGTGTCCGAGTGGCTCCTGTTTGGAATGGCGTTGCTAATGCACTGCCTGTGTCAGCTGAACATGCATTGTCCTATGAAGAAAGGCCATTTCCGCAACATCATCCATTACAAATATACTTGTTTCCATTCAGGGCAGTGTTATTGAGGAATCTGTTGAGTTTTATTTGTTTAAGGTTGGGAATTGTATTTTTTGTTAATCGTACCACAGTGTACAATTATATTTAAAGCATGTTTTTTATGACCTTTTTTACATAAATATGCACCGTATGATAACTGTCCTATCAATGCAGAGATAGTGCACGTGTTGATTAATATAAATGATCATTGTACATTTCCTATGGCTTTAAAAAGAAAAGTTTAAAATGTATTTACATACGTTTAATCTGTTTACGAGTAAATGCATAATTCAGCTGAGTTAAGCTTAAAATAATCTATGCAGACACAGAGGGCATTTTGTACAATTTAAATTCAGAGTTCCTGTAAGTAACACTGCACAGCGTGCTAAAAAGATTTTCCAAAACCATAACCAGAGGAATTGCACCATGTACACAAAATATATAAATTATTAAAACTTACAATCGTCGTGGCTTTTTTTCTATTTTCCCATCGCATATATAAACCCAGCCTCGGACACTACTCAACAGATGGGTCACTTTGATAGAACGTTTCCGTTCCGCACGTACCTCTCCCCTGTCACTTTCCACAAACACGCTGCACTACAAAAGGAGACTAATTCGAAGAACAGAACGAGGATTAATGACTTCCTCGCAGCCCACAAGAGCTCGCCGGTGGGGCCATGAGGTTAGAGTTACCTTGCGGGGGTTAAGGTTTTACATTTCTTGAGTTTGCTTCGTTTACAATTGCCCAAGGTTTCTGCTGCTCAAACACTGAGTGACGACGTTGCGAACAAAACTAAAAACTTTGGACGTTGTTGCTGAATCAGTTTAGTGGCGTTTGCCGTGTGTTGACCTTTTCAAACTGCGTATGGAAAGTATTGGAATAGGAATAGATTAAATATTATAACTCACATGCCGGGCCTGTTTCACGTGTTCAACCCATTGTTTTGTGTAACAGCACACTGTCGCCATTAACGACAACGATGGGACAAAGCACTCGAGTGTTTTGTCCAATTTTGTCTAAATATAATTTCGTGGAATTAAAACATACGATGAATTATTGCGTAGGCGATTCACTGATTCACTTCTTAACCAAATGGGCATGATGTGACATCGTGAATTAGTTTGTTATAATAATCGAGCATTTGAATACAGCACTGAAGGCACATTTACACCAGCACGACTGTAAATGTATTTGTTGTTTTAACAGTTGAATGGTAGCTTATCAAACATTATTTTGTTACAAAACACGGTGCACGAATCGATGCATGTCTCCTGCAGGTATTTTATAATTAATCCCCTCCATCTCCTCCCCAGTGAAACCAATGAATTGTCACAATTTGGTGTCGCAATTTGATTGAATCGTGAATTAATCGGATGTATGGTATCATTTGTATCGTCTGTCTTCGTGTGATCTGTCATGCTTTTGTACCGTTCGCATGAATATAACCTCAGCGTATACTTTGCATGCATCGTCAATAAGCGATGCTCACTGACAAAGAGGTGAAGCGTTGCATACCTAATAACTGTAGTCCACCTACATCATCAGCATCGGACGTTGTGCAATACATTGCACCTTTAATTTCACTTGACTATTGTGTGTGGAGGGAGTGGTGGTGCAGTGGTTCGAACTTAGTGCAATTAACTGAGCGACCTTGAGTTGTATTGCCAGCCAATACAAATGATATCTCAAAGGGACCTGGATCCACCTAGGCATTATGGCCTAAGAACCCCTTGACGTTTAATCAAGGGGATGCCATCATCCAGCAGTGGAATGACATAGGGCTGTTCATTATATGTTTGTGTTTATCTCACAGCATGTGTGCGGTAAAAAAAAAACGTTCACATGATGTATCGTGCATATAACCTGCGTACACATCATTGGCCGATATACCATCAATGTATATTTTTCTCGGTTCGTCTGCCATACGAAGTAGAATAATAATAATGATGAGTCTTAGCTTAACAATCACTTAAATCAACGAGCGTTTAGTTTCATATGAGTCCAGTTTGAGTGAATTGAATTATACATAATAGCTAATTTTAAGGTGCAGTCTTTTGTATGTCTGGGCATTTGCAAAGGAAAGTTCATAATGAATAGTGTTCGTTGTAGCGGGACTGCTCTAGACATGTCACAGTTAATTAAATTGCCCCATTAGAACCCTATGTTGAAAATGTCAGGTTCCGATTAAAATACATTGCACTCTCTGGATGAATTGGCGGCGAATCTTTCTGCGCGAGATATGTGGCTCAACTAGATCAGAGTACCTTCATTGTGCACCTTTAGAATATTATACAGTTCCTAATGTTACACGTTACCAAAAGTGTAGGGTAAGATTTTAGATGCCACATACATTATATCAATCATTCTAGAACAAAGAACATCAAATACCATTATCTAGCTTTTGTACATTATAAAAAGGCCTTTTTTCAGTTTACATTTATGTAGTCATCCAAGTCCTTACAAATCAAGGCCTTAATATAAAATATATAAAAGATATATAAATACTTTTTTTTAAATAGCATTCATAAAGATGTAGTAGCTACACTGAAATTGTATGAAGTAGCCACATACAGGTTAGAAGAGGAGTTAGGCAAGGAGATACGACCTCACCAAGGCTATTCACAATAAGATTCCAACATTTATTCAAGAATTTGAATTGGACAAAGGCATAAAAGCGAATGGAAAAATATAAATAATTTAAGGTTTACTGACAGTCAGTATGACTGCCAATCAAAATTAACTACTGTATGGGAAATCATGAAATAACTTAGGTCATGAAAATATGATTGTTCTGGTTCGCCGAGATAGATGAGAAACACAAAACTAAAATCGAGCATATTCGCTAAACAAAAATTCTAACACACCAACCTTCTGATTTCTGCAACACGAGTAAAACAAAAACTCCTTTACGTGGTGGTTCATGCCTGTCATCCAGGACAATGGAGGCATAGATTGATCCATTCACATTCATTTGCGAGGCTCCCATACCCCGTGGCCTCCAAAGTGGCCCATGAGATGAGAGTTTCGCGAGTGAGTTGTGAACCAATCTGTGCAGACCTTTGAGTGTCATATATGGGTGGGTGTTTCTCCTTCTTCTTCTGGAGACATTGGTTTCCTACCTACACGCAAAACAGTCACTAATAGACATCGGCTAAATCCACCAGTGTCGGGACCGGCGTTGTCGCCACAGGATATTGCAGCACATGAAAGTGGACCGAATTATGCTCCGATGTCGATGCTTCCCGCCTTCACCAATCCGCATTGACTAGAGTGGTGAGTTATGATCAAGTAAAGCCCGGGATCTACGCGGCATGGGCAGGCCCTCATCCAGCAGTGGATTTGACTAGAGGGAGTCTGCGTGTACAGATTCAGCGTTGTGAAAAAAAAGTTAGAATATTATGAATCCAGATTTTATATCTTCCAGTGTTTTGGTTTGGAATATTTCTGTTATAAATGTGTATAAATATACCTTTCAAATGTTGTATGCGTATTACAAGTACACGAATCCCAAAGAAATTTCAATATCATTCGTAAAAAAATAGTAACTATATATATAGCGTTAATATGTCTACAATGACACACAAACAGCACACACGTACATCCGTGCATATACTGTCGTTTCAATTCGGCCGCGCAACGCCTAACGTACGAAGGCCCGTCACGTATGAATCCGAAGAAGTCATCAGCTTCTCCATCCGATGTGTCATTTTCCTTGGAATAAAATTCCTGCAAAAAAAACCCATCATTTATATTCACACCTCCGTTAGCGGCGGCGCGTTTTGTTGCGCCTGCCAGACCCTCCGTGCCACCTGTCATCTCTCACAATGAGGCCAGCGTGGAGTGGCAGCTCGTCAGCCCGACATCTTATTTCCCACTCCCTCTCAGATGCTAATTAATGTCCTGGCCTTGACCCAGCCAGCCCGCCTCTGCCGTCACCTGATCAATCAAACTGGCTGCCCACTCTCATCCCAGGGTTGACAGACTCTGCCTTGTCCAAGAAATTGCCCCATTGCTGTCATGTAAATTACAGTATATGCCAGCCACGGCGGATTGTGGAATGGCAATTTTCTTCAAGTCGTCTTGGAAGGCAAGGCCACGAGTTTGTTAAAACCATTTAAAAAAAAAAGAACAAGTGGTGGCTTCGGTTATTGCTAACGGATAAAAGTACACAGTTACTGATACTTTCCCATGTGTAGCTTAATTGTAACATTTTGCAATATTATAGGGGAGTTGCGAAATTACTGGAATTTTACCTCGTACCAGGAGCTATCCCCCGTGACATAAATATCACATTGCAGCATCTACAGCGGCTCGTGGTGCTGACTGATTCATGATCTGGTGCCTAACAAGGCAGTCGCTAGACGAATGTGACCATTAAGTGCACTAGAGACCAATACTTTTGCACATATGTGAAGCTTCTATCTATACGCATCCAAGAGCTTCTTTGCCAGGTCGTGGTGTAAAATTTTCTTGGATCGACAGTGACTTATCGTGATGAAAAGTAATATAATGTTCGCTTTGAATTTTAGCACTGTGGAGTGGAGGCACATCAGGTTGATGAATATATAATACTACAGATTTTGAGCCTTTGCCAACAATTGATTCCCTGCTCGAGGAATGAATGTGAGAACGTGCCGTACGTTTTAGGGTTCATTGCTCAAGTGAAGTCCCGGCTTAATAAAATAACTATAAATCTACGTCTGAGAGACATTACAATACACACAAACTATAACCGTTTATCTCAGCAGATTGCGTAACGTCGCTCAACATCGCTCGAGATGAATCTCTAAACAACGGCACGTATGTTTGCATTGGCATTCAATGAAATATCGCATGTCTACAGCATGTACAATTTAGCATCTCTATCCCGCGAGCACTAACATACAAATCCCCACTTGATACAGTGAAACGCTATTTAAAGTACCTTAATACTTGGATGAACCAGCAGAACGATGCCGCGGTCTCCCGAGGGAATGGAATTCTCCTTCGGCGTGCCCCAGAGGTGCTCATTACTGCCGTAGCTTCAGTGGCTGCACAGTCAGTTGTATTTTCCGTGGGACCCTGACCTGCGCAGTTGTACTCAAGTCTGTTGAATTTCCAATCCGTTGCAATGATGTGATAGCTTTACGTACTGTACCATCCACTGCGAACACCGCTGCTATAAGCTGAGAAACAAAGCAAATGTCTTCCCTGGATTTAAAGGCATGAAAATGGTCTAAAAATGACGGTGCTCATAAAGTAAATTGCCTAGTGGAAAATGTTCATTTTGTGTTAAGTATTGTGTATTATTGCGTTGAACTAGGACCCATTTCTTACAGGAAGTGTCCTTGTCCATACACGCCCAGCAGTTCACCAGCATGGATTCAAACCAGCCTGACTGCTGATGAGACAATTAATGTCAGAACCGGTCCAGAATTTGCTTGTGTTAAAACAATTCTGCTCATAAGATACCTTCACAGAAGACCGTGCATCTGACGGGTTGTGTAAAAAAAAAATGAGGGAAACGTATATGGGAAGGAAGAGTTATTTTTTTAGGAATATTCTCCACTCCGTTTTTTTTTCTGTAAATAACCTCCATAATTGATTACTTATGATATCGATGGAATATCTTATTTATTATTTTGCTTACAAATGTGAACAAACACAATTATTTTCCAATTTGCAAATGTCGTTGTGAAGCATTGGTGATGACAGTGAGGGATACAGACGCAGCGTATACAACTAACACTTTGGAGAACAACTTCCTGCATTACAGAGCAAGGCCAATGAACATTTTTTTTTTACCAACATTGTAATGAGTGTCTTTTTTAAAGTATTGAAAAATGGGCATTCTCACATTCAGGTCTTAAAATAACGAATTTAAAATCCGGGAAAATAAGTTTTTAAAAAGTCATAGATGAAAACGCTGCAGGAGAGTGTAATAAGACGACATGTGTGGCATTTCATTTTCGTAAGGCAATTTTACGCACCCTCGCATGTACAGGGTGCTTCAAAAAAATGCTAACACTTAAATGGGACAATCTTTTAAATGGGAAAAGAACGGAAAATCCACTGTAACATGATAACAAATTTATGCGAATAGCTTCAAAAAGTCAAAGAGTCTCCACTCGTTCGCCATCGTTGTCAACGCGTTGCCTGGAATCTTCTCCAGGTGATCTCCAGAGCCCGGAGGCACCTTTCTTGTGGCATTGTTGCAAATTCTCCTAAGTGTTAACCTTTTTTTGAAGCATCCTGTATCCCCTCACCACAACTCAGCGTACACATGAAGTTCACATATACTACTCCTACCATACAACACATTCAAGTATTGTAGTTTGTAAGACTTAACATCACTAGCGTGATCAATAAAGAGGGTTGGAAAGGCTAATTTATTGCACTCGGAAGGTGAAAGCACCGACGAGTCTGAGAGTTGGTATTTTAACTTTAAGGCAGAATTTAACATGTTAATGAGTTCAGCAGGCTACACACTTTAATGTTTGTAACTTTTATCATATAACTTAAAGAGAGATAGATGTTCAAGTTGACCATTGAAGCTAATATTTAACACTGTACTAACTCACATTAGCAATGATTACAAATCAATTGTGTTTTGTCTCAATGAATTCAGGTGCTTGGTTGAGTTTGTAAATGACGGATTTGCGGTGACCCCCACAGACAAAAAGAGCAATAGATATTAATAATGATAATAGATCGAATATTAGCTTATAGAATAAACTATTAAAAGTTTTAATGCCAGTATTAAAATAAATTAAATAACCGTACGTTTCCTGACTTTTAGGCCACCCTATACAATATAATGCATTCTATTCTTAGCTCTTTCGGTAAAGTCACGTTGAAGGGAAACAATAAAATAATAAAATATATATAAAACAATAAAAAAAATTCTCACGACGTTTCGACCATAACACAAACGGTCGTCATCAGGTGTGTTATGGTCGAAAGGTCGTGAGAATTTTTTATTGTTTTATATATTTTTTATTGTTTCCCTTCAAGGTGACTTTACCGAAAGAGCTAAGAATATGAATTACTGCAGTCACGAAAGCTTTAAATCAAAATGATACATTCTAGTTTAGTTTCCAGAACACGATACTGCACTGTAAGGGACACGGGGTTGATGACACTAACGTTGGTATCTGCTTAAGCATTGTCGTAACACGTACAGTAGAAACACCGGAAAGGAATATCCTTTATGTGTGCCTCATTTCTTTCCTGCCAGAAATCCACGATGCAATGTGAAATTCAGCTGCAAAAAAAGAGATTAGAAGCTATCACAATCCTCCAATTTGTGAGTGATTTTAAATGTCAACAATTAGCTCAATTGTCAGAACTGCTTATTACTAATAACCATACCCCCATAATGTAATATTAAGACAATAAACAACTGTAGTAGATCATTAAAGTATAGGCCACTTTTGATTTAAAGCTTTCGTGACTGCAGGGATTCATATTCTTGGTTCTTTCGGTAAAGTCACGTAGAAGGGAAAATATAAAATAATAAAAATATAAAACAATATTAAAACAATATTGTTAGTATTAAAACAGTATTGTTTTATTTCGATTTAAAGCACAAGCTAATCCCTTAGCTATTTCAATGCTAAATTACTAGTTGCCTCTGTGGATGTGTAGGTTTTGACTTTAACATAGCCATTCCTGTGACCAGTCACAAGCTAATCCCTCAGCTATTTGATATGTAAACCCCTTTGTCAAGGTGCCTCACTTCTCGCAAACCTGCTTAAAAGTCGCTACGAATCTTAACATCGTTCATTGAAGCTATGTCGTCCCGACAGGTCTGTACCTTTCACCTGAAGACGGCCGCTTGCGTTGTGGCCGAAACGTCGTGAGAATTTTATTGTGTTATTTTATTATTTTATTCTCATTCTACGTGACTTTACCGAAAGAACCAGAGTATTGTTTTATATTTATATTATTTTATTGTTTCCCTTCTACGTGACTTTACCGAAAGAACCAAGAATATATTGGCCACTTGATTAAAAAGTGGCCTAGACTTGGTAAAAAAAAAACACACTTGGTCAAAAAAATACCAAAGACCACGGAGACCATGTCTTGTTTTAAAAATATATGAATGTGGAAAATCTTTATACTTTGTTACTGTGACTCGAAACGCTGGGTTTGTCATCTCGCCCCCTCTGCTGGTCACTTCTTACACCAGCCAGGGTGCGTAACACATGACTGTGCAATGCTGATTATTAAGTTTACCATACACGCATTGAACTACTTGTGTAAGTATTCGTGTTTTACGATTTGCATGTGTTATGGAACAGGTTGACGTGGCCCCCTCCAACCACTAGAGGCCGCTACATTCGCCACCTTGTAAAATATTTAGGTATTCTGGAAGCAAATTGCGACCTTTAATCATGCCAATTCATTTCAACACACCCAGTCACTTGATTGGCGTTTTGGTCAGAGAAATTATATTAAGAAGTATTAAAAGGTTATTTTATTCAATTTAATACTGCTGTGTGGTATCAGGACCTATGAATCTGTGGACAATTTTAAAACACATCTTCAAGCCTATTTATACACTACTGTATTGGTTAATTCAGAAATTGACTTTCATAGTTTATTTCATAAAGTTACCTTTAAAAAAAAGTATCGATTCAAAATAGAGTTATTTTTATACTGAGTGTTTGCTGTTGTGTCCTGTACAATGCTTTGGGATCCTCAATGATCTATATTTTCATATTAAATGCTGATGAATCGCTCTTAAGTTAGAAAATGCAACCGATAATGTTTTCCCCAAAAGATGCTGGACATGTTCACAGAACCGGTACTGCATTTCACTTTGACAATGGGAGTTCCTATAAAATACTGTAGCAGCCTGTGGTGTTATTACTTTGTACATAAATCAGCCCAAATTACAACTCAAAACGGTTTGTTTGTTTTTAATCCTGCACTACGTTTAACTCTTGATGAGTGTCACCTTGTGATTTACTTTGTCCTCCACTTAATAATCTTTCCGGAATTCATTCTGTTGTCATGAACAAGAAAATTGCATTGGTCCAGAAGTGTTTGCAAAGTGCACATCATACTGTTACCAATGTAATTCAACGCACGCTTCCAAACTGCACGTCACATTCAAAAAGTAAATGCAAAAAAAATGGCAGGTTTTATTTCAAACCTGATGCCCCGAATATGATTGAATAAACATTGCATGCATGCTAGATTTAGCATCCATTCCTTTATTTGGATGACTGCAAATGCTTTTGAAAGTAAATGTTGGACGGTAGTGGCTATGCCCACCTGTAATCCAGCACTGTGGAGGCGAGGATTGCCTCGTTCGTTCGTTTCTCAGTCCTCTTGTCCTGGTGAGGGTCGCGGCTGCAGCGTCTTGAGTAGTGGCGGTCCACACCTCCCTATCCCTGGCGACAGACTCCAGCACTACTACACTATACACTACCATACTACTGCACACTACTATACACTATAAAACACTACTGTACTATACACTAATATACTATACACTACTACACTACTATACACTACTACACTACTATACACTACTGCACACTACTATCCACTAATACACTACTATACACTACACTACTATACACTCCTATACACGACAACACTACCATACTATACCCTACTATACTATACACTTATGTAGACTACTATACTCTACACTAATACACTACTATACACTACTATGCTATACACTGCTATACTATACTACACAGACTCGAGCTCTTCCTGGGGAACTACAGTGAGGGAAACAAGTATTTGATCCCCTGCTGATTTTGTACGTTTGCCCACTGACAAATAAATGATCAGTTTATAATTTTAATGGTAGGTTTATTTGAACAGTGAGAGACTTAATAACAACAACAAAATCTAGAAAAAAGCATGTCAAAAATTTTATCAATTGATTTGCATTTTAATGAGGGAAATAAGTATTTGACCCCCTCTCAATCAGAAAGATTTCTGGCTCCCAGGTGTCTTTTATACAGGTAACGAGCTGAGATTAGGAGCACACTCTTAAAGAGAGTGCTCTTAATCTCAGCTTATTACCTGTATAAAAGGCACCTGTCCACAGAAGCAATCAATCAATCAGATTCCAAACTCTCCACCATGGCCAAGACGAAAGAGCTCTCCAAGGATGTCAGGGACAAGATTGTAGACCTACACAAGGCTGGAATGGGCTACAAGACCATTGCCAAGCAGCTTGGTGAGAAGGTGACAACAGTTGGTGCGATTATTCGCAAATCGAAGAAACACAAAAGAACTGTCAATCTCCTCGGCCTGGAGCTCCATGCAAGATCTCACCTCGTGGAGTTGCAATGATCATGAGAACGGTGAGGAATCAGCCCAGAACTACACGGGA